TCTGGGTGATGGATTGTTGAGTTGGGTACTGATCTGGCTAGTTGTGCTTTATGTTTTACTAGTGCTGTGTAGAGGTTCGTTATCCGGCGGCATTGTGTTGGACTGAGATATGTGCATTGGAGTTGGTAAGCCAGTCGAGTAAGTAATACGTTGTTTATAATGTACACTGCTTGTTTTGGTGTAATTTTTGCATGACGTAATTTGTTGGTATTTTTTTTTATTTCATTAGTAATAAACTTTTGTACAGGCCGGTGTGATGGTTCACGTGAGAGCCAGGTTCCCAAGTGGCGGAAGATTGTTTTGGGTGGTATGTTATTTATGGTGTCACCAAGGAAGCTGATAGAGGGGTTGGGGTGGGTATCATTAGTAATAAGAGTAGACTTATTTGGGTTGACTTTGATGTTTGTGTATTGTAGGAAGGAGCTTGTTATATTGAGGATTTGCTGTAGCTAGTTTTTACTATTCGCTATCCATACTGTATCGAACTCCCCCAGCGCAACCAACAAAAAACCTCGGGCACGTGAGTGGCTGTGGCTTGTTTTGTGTAACTGGTACGTATAACATTTATTTTTGATGTTAACCAATACCGATATATACGAAAATTTTATAAAAAAATAAATACATAAAAAATAAGCCGAAATATCAACCCGAATAAAAATCATATTAATAGTATTTATCTTTGTTACAGCTCAGTACAATAAATAACAAATAAAAAAAGTATTCATGGAGATTAATCTTTGCTAATATAACACATATATAATATTGATTAATATAAAAAAAATTATGATTGCAAATAACGGGTATTATTAGTATGGTCCTTCCAAGTCAATGGCATGGTTCGTTTTCTTCGATATTGTTCGACTTCATCAACTAACTTAACTAGTGGGTCAAACGATTTCTTTACTGCTTTAATCCATTTTGTGTTGCCGGCTAATTTTTGCTCTTCTAAAAGCACAAGTGCTTTTTTGGTTTTTTCAATTAAATTATCGAATGTTACATTATAATTTTCAAGTGATTCTTCGTAATCTTCAGTTAATTCAATCATTTCACCGGCAAATTTATTATTCACAACTTGCCCGGCAGATTTGCTTTCTGTTGAATTCATTTGGATTAAAAAAGGAGGTTGATGGCTTCTTTTTATATTGAGAAAAAATTCTGCCGTTACATTTGCCTTTTCATGCACCAAATGTTTACATAAATTAAACCGACTTGTTAAATAATAGTTGCATCCGCAAACCCATTGTTCTATAACTGTTGCATATGTATTATTGTTATTGATTGGTCGTTTGGATAAACTTTTCCATTCATGTTTGAAGTCCTTGATCCAATCCGGTTTTTCTCGGCCTATGCAAATCTGGTTTAGCTTGCGCTTTTGATGTACAATAACCTTGTTTATTAATATATATGTGACAAGATCCATTCGTGGATGAAAAAATTTATACAAGAAGTCTCGTTTGATCGTTTTCCAGTGGCCCTCAATGAACATCGTAGTATTCAATACGGAAATTATATTTTCACAAGACGCACGTGCCCACAATACCTACTTTGATTCTACGTACCATTCTGTCCACATGTATAGCCAAAGTGAAATTAATGACCTATCCTTACAGAATAGATACATCTCTTGAATAGACTGACAATAAATTTCATCTTTAGATAAAAAGTTTCCATTATTTGTTGGAATCAAAGAATGTTGGTGCATGTGTTTTTCCATAATTTGCAATACTGATGCCCGATATTCCTTGGGGCAAAATTGTGCTGTTGGTTGAATTCCATCAAACGGAAATCTCTTGCCAAATTCGGAAAGCGGATTAAATGTAGATCTTGTTGTAGTTTTATTACTTAATAATCTTGTAGTTATAGCACGTTTTACATGCCATTTACATAATTGGATTTTTGTAGAAGGCCATGTAAAACGTACCGCATTAATTTGCGCATAGTCCTTATCCGTTAAAAAAAATGTTGGGTACAATCCTTTATTACGAAAATTAACAAGAAATTTTTGTAATTTTGCTGTTCGTACACCATCCTTACACTGCCCATTATTTTCAAGAAACATATATGATAGAGGAAACCCAGTGCCGTTTACTTCAGCTTGTAGAACATATAATTCAAACCCCATATTATTAGTACCATATGTAGCGTCTATCCCATATTCATTAATTACGATCTGGTATTCATTTAATTGTTCAAGAAGTCCTGTTTCAAATGCTAGTGCACGAACAGGTTCTGATTCTTGTAAGATAATTTTGTAATGATTTTCTAATAACCAAAGTCGTGCAGATTCAAATGCATTATCATCGCGTTTATACCGGTGTTGATCAAGTTGTGTCCACCAATAGTGGATCTGTTTTTGCTTAATTGATATATTTATTAAATTTTCACTAATAAGCCGTGCATAGATTTCTCTTGGCAGAAGGTCTATATTCGTTTGAATAAAGTCTTTTACATTTTGTGGTACTACTGTATTAATTGGCCTCACATGCAAATTTTTGTGATAAAGGCTAATTTCAGCTATTTGTGTAGTCTTATTAATTGCAATCTTTAAAATACCACCACAGTCAAATCTTTCTTTAGATGGGGTGTCCCGTTGTTTTGATATATCTGGATGTTTGCGTGATCGAGATGCCAAGTTATTTCTTTGAGAACAGTAATACCAATATGTAGTTGTATTTTTACTTATATATGAACGTTGATAATTCCAACTATATTTATCAGCATCTTCGATCAAATCAACGATACTATTGGCGATGTTTGAAAGATCTTCAGCTAGATTCTTATTGGCAATATTTACTTTGCAATTAAGATGCAATTCTTGCGATGTAGACTCTAAAAGAGTTGTAACTGCTTCACTTAAAAACTCAATATCTATAACTTCATACTCGTTATGGAGTTGAACATCGTCATCAGACTCTAAAGGTCTTTTTGGTTTTTTATTGAGCCTTGGACGGCATTTATCACATGTTTTAAACTGTTTAGGTGCACCTCTGGCATCATAACCCATAAATTCATGACACGATTTAAAAGTTTTACAACCGTTGCAATAAGGATCCATATTTTATAGCGAAGAAAAATATAGCGAAGAAATATCAATAAGAATGGAGATGAAAATTATCATTGTTCGTTTTCTTTATTATTGATATCAATATGATTTATTTTCCTTTTTACTGTATTATTGATATTGATATGATTTATTTTCCTTTTTACTGTATTATTGATATTGATATGATTAATTAATTGATTATACAGTAACTCTTATTACGTAGTACAAAGTCAATTTCACAGCCACAGCCACTCACGTGCCTGAGGTTTTTTGTTGGTTGCGCTGGGGAAGATACTGTATTATTGATATTGATATGATTTATTTTCCTTTTTACTGTATTATTGATATTGATATGATTAATTAATTGAT